AATACATCTCTTTTTTTTATTTTCTCAAACTCTCTTATGCTGAGGATCAGGGTGGTCAGAACTGCAATAGGTCGATGGAAAAGTTTGTCTTGCATTTGACAATACTGTCAACTCTCTCAAACTGAGGATCTTTCTTGATGGCAAATGCCAAAACACGGAGGGAAAAAAAAAGGAGAAAACGAATGCACTTTACAACTCTTATATGATCAGTTATTATGCATGAAGTGTCCACTCACAAGAGAGCGCATGTAACAGAAATCCAAATTTCACTTTGAATTGTCCGCGTTCGCTTATGGGAATGTAAGCAGAGTTTGACTGGAGGCAAACGGAGAATTAAAAAATGGTCAGTTAGTGGAGCTGTCCGCTTACAAGATTGTCCGTCAGCGGAGAGTGGATTGTGATGAGGAACTAGCAGTGGTTGACAACTCCTCTTGGTTACTAGGCTTACTTACTCTTCTAACCTTGCTAGAAATATCCAACCGCCGCTCTCCTTTGAGAAAGCTCCTAAATTAGTTTTTTTAAAAATGTGCCGCTCCATAAAAGTATGGTTCATAAGACTTGGAGAACCTAGCGGTTAGCCCCTTGAAAGATTTCAAATAAGTATCCTCTCTCTACCAGGCAATGTAAAGTAGATCTAGAAGCAGTTTACGGGTTAGATGGCGCATCGTGGGGTAACTTGTCATGCCCTCATTCGTGACGAAGTGACAGAGTAGCCCCCTCCGCCCCCTCCGCCACTACCCCCGTACCCAGATCTCTATTCTTAGTGGCAGAAATGATTAGTTATAATTGGCTCACATTAGATTACTGCTAACCCTACCCCTAGTAAGATGACCACAAATTCAAAGCAAGGGATTGTAAAGTTTATAATCTCTTGTGCAGTGTTGATGGACAAAAGCTCAATGTTGTGGTGAACTGATTCGAAAGTATCAACCAGGCCGATTTAATTATTAGTTTGTTAGGAATGTTATGAGTCAACGATTGACTTATCGACCGTTATTATAATGAGCCACAAAACGTTTCTTAAATGCGGTATCAGATCGTCATTTCTTTCGTTAAAAAAATCTCAAGCTTCCTCTGCTAGCAGGTTTTTGCGTTTATTACCTTGTGAGGCACGAAAGGCTGAATATTTAAAAAAAAATTCACTGATGCATTACAAAGCAACGAGTCTTGATGGCCTTGATTGACTATAACATGGCTGTAAGATTTCTGTAAGCCAATGCTCGTTTCCCTCGCAAATTTTCATTTATACCAGTTGATTTTAATCAAACGCTCTACATTTTAAACAACGTTTCTCTACAAGCTTAAGACGTGCGTTGTAAACGGTTAATGACCGGTCGACCAATTTTATTAGGTGACGAACAAAGAAACAGTTTTTAATCACTGGTCCAATAATTGTAAATTGCCAAGCCATGAAAGTTAGTGCAACATTGTTTGGACTCAAACATTACGTACAAAAAACAAGAGAGCATTACCATCCCAAATAATATCAGTAGGCACTTAATGTTTGAGTGGGAGGACCGGAAGTCAAAATACTTGGCTCGAGGTCATCACGTATGGACCAAGCACAACGTCAATGGATCGTTTCCTGTCGCTATCTTCAGGCATTATCCTCCAGCCGTTTGGAATTTTAAGGAAACTTAGAAACAAAGCGTAACCTACGATGCTAGTTCTTTAAACGCTATATAGAGAGATGTGGCGGTTGGGAAGGGGGGAGGAGTGGTAGAAGGGAGACGAGGGCGTTGCATACGGCATATTCAGAGAAATAGGAATGAGAAATAAGGCGTCTGTTGTGTTATTCTGCCCCCTGGCCGGAGGCAACGCCCTCCCTAAAGCTCCGATCTGATGGGTATTCACGCGTCACGTGTAGCGCTTATGACACGCATTTTATTTTTGCCTTTTCTGAATGATAGTTGTATTTAACATTTTAAATAATCGGCCTAAGCGCTCGAATTTGTTTTCACCAATTTACAAGTTATGATTTGAAGACTTGTTCGTCTTTGCTGGTACTGAAATGAAACAACTGAGCAGTTCTTCATTCGTTCATTCTTCATTTGCTGACAGATTAACTCTTTAACTTCCAAGATATGATTGTTAATTCTCCCCTCTTGCTGCTCCAAATTTCCTTGTAGTTGAGTTATGAGACTTTGCTGTTAGAGCAAGATAACAGCTTTGAGTATTCTCATTATCTGTTTGCTGGATAACGTTAGAATATCATAGGGAGACGTTACATATTTATGTCCTTTGGTAAAAATTCTGGTCCAATATTTGCTTTTTAACTATTTCAGCCAACAACTCAATATTTTTTCTTGAAAAACAAGGAATCAAAGAGAGGGCCCTTATTCCTCTCAAACTTATCAATTGTGGCTTTACCAACCTATAATTATTTCCACCCGTCTTAAGGCGTGCACAATTTGTTCCACCCAATTATTATTTCAAATCAATAGGTCCCGATAATATTTTTAATATCTTTTGTCTCCCCAGCCTGTCCAGTTATGAACTGTATTTTGCATTAGCAGTCAATTTCATTCTTAAACAGCTCTGTAATACTCAAAACAATGGTTTGTAGAAGAGAAATTTTATACTTTTGCAAGACGTGAATTTCTTATCCTTGAGAAGAAAAACATTTGGGTACTCAGTTGCGTGATAAACCTTTCTTTCGAAAACAAAGTAAACAAAACCTAAATTTAGTTCTGATATGAAGGTCAAGGATCAACGATTATTGCACTGTAGTCCACTGTACAAGCAACCGATTCGTTCACCTCGATACACTTAACAGTTATACTTCGTTAACTCAAAGCTCGTCGTACGATTCGAGATCATCGCAGTACCGGTCCCAAACATTTCAGCTTTAAGTGTATTCGTTTGCTCTGTTTATATGTATGACATTGGAAATTCTATTTTCCTTTATAAATAAGGCTAAACTGCAGAATACCCTGCCACTCATTTACATGTCATTGAATAAGAATGGCGTCTATTGTATTATACCTCGATCTTCAAAGCCTCCCGACACATGTAAATGAGGTGGACCAAAGTGGCGGGGTATTCTGCACAAAAAGTCTTACAGACTGTTCTGCCGCCTTTTTTTGTGGTAGCGGGGCGCCCTCTATCGAGCACAATGTGCATAGTGAGTTGTGACTTGCGGTTTGATCCTGATGAGCGGATTGGCTGAGTAACGTGCTCGATACTCCCACTCATAAGTGAGAAAAATGCATATAAACAACAAAGAAACGAGCAGCAAGCATTATCATTTTTTCGAGCTGCCTAGAGTTTTGACACGAACTGAAGATCTAAGAAAAAGAGAAAAGTCACTGTCAATAAACATGGCTTCTGGTATTGCTGAGGGAACGTATCTCATAGAAAATGTGGAAACACAGCGTTACTTGTTCCAAGACGGCCCTGAAATAAAAGGAAACCGAGGAGACGAAGGCGGTTGGACTGAGGCGCCTAGTGTTGTGGGAGCTGATGCCAATTACTACAACCGAGCCTATTGGAAGATTATTCCACAAGGTAACGACAAATACTTCATAGAGAATGTCGAAACAAAGAGGTATTTGTTTTCAACTGGTGCAAAAATTGAAGGCGATCATGGAAGCGAAGGAGGCTGGACTAATGCACCTAAAATTGTGGGAACGGATGCCAATTACTACAATCGGGCCTACTGGAAAATCATCCCCCAAGGAGATGACAAATACTTCTTTGAAAACTTTGAGACGCTCAGATACGTATTTCAAGATGGCCCCAAAATAGAAGGAAACCGAGAGGATGAAGGGGGATGGACGTCTGCTCCCAAGACTCTGGGTTCTGATGCCAATTACTACAACCGCGCTTACTGGAAACTACTCAAGCAGTAGACTAACGATAAAACCTGAAACTGTGACTTTTTTGTGCTTCTTTTCCCAGTAACAAGTATTTCGAAAGTAGTTTTTAGTTTTAGTTTAAGCGGAGTGGTCTTTGAGCAGCGCTGGACATATGAAGCTGGGCACGGAGGTTGACAGCGGAGAGAACACTAGTGGCCACGCCAATCAAAAGGCACCATTTTTTAATCAAAAGCTCTTATGAGCTATTTCAGGGTTTATCTTAATGAATCAATAAAGAGGCGAGAGCTTAAATCCTTTGCCATCTCCTTCCAATAGCGCGTGACGGCTGAACTTTTTCTCTATTAAACCTTTTGTGTAATTATGTATATTAAACTAAGAGGGAGACACTTTTAATCTTTAATCTTTACAGATTCTGATGAGAATTGAGGCTGAAATGTTGCCCTTTGAACAGTACTTGACTTGAAAATTTCCAAACTCAACTCTCCTCGTTTTCTTTCTCTTTTAGCAAGCTTCAAGTAAGTTAACTGCATTTCCAGGCGAAAAGCCGTTTTGCTTTTCTACGCATTAGCTAAGGGAGGGGGAGGGGGGATTTGGGCTGATGGATCGCAACTATCTTTGGAATAATAGCACTGGATTGCCTTGGAGCACAAAAATCGCTCGACTCGGTCGCGTCTTCTCCTTGCATTAGTTAGGACTGTGCAAGGCGGCTCGAAAGTATGGATAATAATGATTGAAACGATGAAAAACTCGATTTAAATTAGACGTAGACAGCTTAAAACTCCACGCTTGTCAAACAAATGTCTTAATAATCCGACCAATCTACTTATGAGTCCAAGAACTGCACTTTAGTTTCTGCGTCTCATTATCATTTAGACTAAATATTTATGGTTCGTTTTCTGAAATATTTGTTAATTGTCTCCATACAGCATCGTTATCCTTGTTTCCAGAGTTACGCTCAATTAAACAGAGGGCCCTTATTCCTCTCCAACTTGTCAATTGTGGCTTTGCCAACCTAGAATTATTTCCACCCGTTTTAAAATTTGTTATAATTCGCTCACATTAGATTACTGCTAACCCTACCCCTGGTAAGATGACCACAGATGCAAAGCAAGGGATTGTAAAGTTTATAATCTCTTGTGCAATGTTGATGGACAAAAGCTCGATGTTGTGGTGAACTGATTCGAAAGTATCAACCAGGCCGGTTTAATTATTAAATTGTTAGGAATGTTACGAGTCAACGATTGACTTATCGACCGTTGTTATGATGAGCCACAAAACGTTTCTTAAATGCGGTATCAGATCGTCATTTCTTTAGTTAAAAAAATCTCAAGCCTCCTTTGCTAGCTGGTATTTGCTTTTATTACCTTGTGAGGCCTGAAAGGCTGAATATTAAAAAAAAAAATTCACTGATGCATTACAAAGCAACGAGTCTTGATGTCTTTGATTGACTATAACATGGCTGTAAGATTGCTGTAAGCCAATGCTCGTTTCCCTCGCACATTTTCATTTATACCAGTTGATTTTAATCAAACGCTCTACATTTTAAACAACGTTTCTCTACAAGCTTAAGACGTGCGTTGTAAACGGTTGACCGGTCGACCTTATTAGGTGACGAACAAAGAAACAGTTTTTAATCACTGGTCCAATAATTGTAAATTGCCAAGCCGTTAAAGTTAGTGCAACATTGTTTGGACTCAAACATTACATACAAAAAACAAGAGAGCATTACCATCCCAAATAACTTAATGTTTGAGTGGGAGGACCGCAAGTCAAATTACCTGGCTCGAGGTCGTCACGTATGGACCAAGCACAACATATTATTGATTATCCTCCAGCCGTTTGGAATTTTAAGGAAACTTAGAAACAAAGCGTACACTACGATGCTTGTTCGTTAAACGCTATAGAGAGAGAGATGGGGCGGTTGGGAAGGGGGAAGGTGCGGTAGAAGGGAGACGAGGGCGTTGCGTAAGGCATATTCAGAGAAATAGGAATGAGAAATAAGGCGTCTGTTGTGTTATTCTGCCCCCTGGCCGGAGGCAACGCCCTCCCTAAAGCTCCGATCTGATGGGTGTTCACGCGTCACGTGTGGCGCTTATGACACAAATATTCTTATTGCATTTTTTGATTGATAGTTGTATTTTACATTTGAAATAATCGGCTTAAGCGCTCGAATTTGTTTACACCAATTTACAAGTTATAATTTGAAGACTTGTTCGTCTTTGCTGGTACTGAAATGAAACAACTGAGCAGTTCTTCATTCGTTCATTCTTCATTTGCTGACTGATTAACTCTTTAACTTCCAAGATATGATTGTTAATTCTCCCCTCTTGCTGCTCCAAATTTCCTTGTAGTTGAGTTATGAGACTTTGCTGTTAGAGCAAGATAACAGCTTTGAGTATTCTCATTACCTGGATAACGTTAGAATATCATAGGGAGACGTTACATATTTATGTCCTTTGGTAAAAATTCTGGTCCGATATTTGCTTTTTAACTATTTCAACCAACAACTCAATATTTTTTCTTGAAAAACAAGGAATCAAAGAGAGGGCCCTTATCCCTCTCAAACTTATCAATTGCGGCTTTGCCAACCTATAATTATTTATGTTATTGGGGCATGGACGTCAGCTCCCAAGACTGTGGGTTCTGATGCGAATTACTACAACCGCGCTTACTGGAAACTTCACAAGCAGTAGACTAACGATAAAAACTTGGAACTGAGACTTTTCATAGTTCTTGCTTACCCAGTGACACATATTTCAAAAATAGTAGTTAGTTTTAATTTAAGCGGATTGATCTTTGAGCAGCGCTTGTCACATGAAGCTGAGCGCGGAGGTTGAAAGTGGAGGTTGAAAGTGGAGGTTGAAAGTGGAGAGAACACCAGCGTAACCTTCAGTGTACTTATCTATACTACGCCAAAGCACACTTTTTACTATACTAGCAATAAGTACGACTTTCTGCTGATGTGATGACGACACACTTTTGAGGAATTTATTTCACAGAGTCTCAATGCATAAAAGAAATGTTTGTGGTGGCCGATCTGCAAATAACAATGGGTTCTCTGAACCAAGTCAATCAAAAACCACTATTTTTGATCAAAGGCTCTTATGAGCTACCTCATGGTATATCTTAATTAATCAATGAAAAGGTGAGAACTTTAATCCTTTGTCACCTCCTTCCAATAGCGTGTAACAACCCAAATTTTTTCTGTGTAAGGCGACTCGAAAGTATGGATCATAATTATTGAAACGATGAAAAACTCGGTTTAAATTAGACGTACACAGCTTAAAACTCCACGCTTGTCAAACAAACATGTTAATACTCCGACCAATCTACTTACAAGTCCAAGAGCTGCGCTTTGGTTTCTGCATCTTCTTATCATTTAGACAATTGTTTCTGGTTGGTTTTTTTTTGGAATACTTGTTAATTATCTCCGTACAGCACCGTTACCGTTCTTTCCAGTGTAACACTCGCTACTTTGATCTCCTTTTATTGAACACAATCTATATTTTTATTTTGAGGGTGATTTTGCAGGTCGCAGAAAACCACACTGAATGTTGACAAGGAGCTCCTTCAACCCTCAGACTGACCAACACAGAATTTCTCCTTACAATTTCAGCAGACAAGTGATGAGAATAAAGAAAATATCAATTAGGGGATTAGAAGTTGATCCAATACCAAATCCTCTGAACTAACATCATCAGAATAATATGGCCAACGGTAAGGAGAATTAATGATAATATCTTGGAGTGAAAAGCATAAAACTGCTTTGTTAAACTTTCCCTGTAAACAAGTTTAGAGAATTTGGTTTATATCAACATGGCATCCTCCACCTGTTTTGGTCGCCCTTTCTGATCTCCTGTTCACTGTGGAATGTAGTAAACTGTGAGAGGCGACTTTACATATTGATAACTTTCGAAAGTTTAAGGATTAGAAAAGATTCCGGCAAAGCGGACAAGTGGCATTGTTACTGGTGCTGAACCATTTGTAAAGACAGGCCGAATGGAATTTTTTCTTGCATGTTTTGCAGCTCAGTTTAGGAAGAGAGTAGTTACTGCCATGAATGACAGAGAAACAGATCATGCAGTCTTCTACGCCCTCGAAACGCTTGTCAACGTTGCGTTTCCACAGAATGAGACCATCCATTATGCTTCCATTCTAAAACCAGAAATACAATAACGGCATTTATTGAAGTCATTGTCACGAAAAAGACATCAGAATATTACATCATTAAAATCTAATTATACTGTACAGTTCCCTAATGAGGTTGCTAAATCCGAATGTATCGAGAGCGGTTCCTGTCGGAGCCTCAGAAGGTAAAAAGGTTTAACAAGAGTGAAACCCAATTGCTTTAAAAAGTAAGATTCACGTTTCGCGAAGAATAGACCTTTCCATTATACGACATTAGGCGCAGGCGAAAGTTAGTAACGTCAGAAACATTGCAATTTGACACTGACCTGATGTGTTAGAAATGTCGTCATCTGAAGCATCCAGCTTCTCCATTGAGCAGCTGTCACCCCGATCTTCTTGCCGCTCTCGACAGACACCACTCCCAGTGGATGGTTTGGCGCCAATTTCACAACCAGCTCCATGGAGATCTCTTCAATCGTATAAACCGCGGCCACCTCGCGGGCATTGGGTCGAGCCTTGACCTGCATGTTGTCAAACCGGATCGACGAAGTTTGAACCAGTTGCATTTCGCGCCGGCAAAGTTGTGGGGTTATGTTGGAAGTTGTGAATCTACGCGAACGGAGACAAAAAAGAAATTATTCTCCATTTAAATTAGTTTCTAATATGATTCTTAAAGTATTTATATCTAATATCACTAACACTTTCTCAGTCAAACTAACTTTCAGCAGTTTGGACCAACTTGTTCCATTTAAGGCACATTTCCATGGGATATATCGATAAATCAACTTATCCAACGGAACACAGAATCTATTAATTGTAACTGTGAGTGTGGAGGCAGCGTTGCCGAGTGGTTAGGGAGCTGAACTTATAATCTTGCGGTCCGGGGTTAAGTCTTGCACCCTGCTACTCTCTGGATTTGTTCTCGGTTGCCGCAAGTTCAACTTCTTAACTCCGGCCAGTTGGGATTTTTAAGTACCTCGTTTATTTACAATTTGTTTGTATTGGCTAGGAAAAGCACCATCGGGATTGAGGCAAAAATTAACCGTGACTGGACTCAATTTTACTGAATTTAAAGAAAAATAATTCAAAAGTAATAGGAGCATCTTACTTGTCCACAATAGCAGATTGACGCTTGTCTACGCTATTCCACCATTGCCTGACAATGGCCGGCATCCATTGCAACAAGGAATAAAATAAGCCACATGCTAGCTGCTGGATAGTACGCTGACCAACAAGACGACTTATACCCGGCTCAGAATCATCTGTTTCCACTACTACTACTGTCGACTTCACGGGAATCAGTCTAAACAGCACGCAAAGAAGACTATCCACCATCTTATTTTGCTTGATGTATTTGGCGTATTCAACTCGCTTTTCTTG